TCGAACACTAAGTTTATTCATATACGGGTATCCTGTTGATTTACAGGTGTGCCATCCTTTTTTGTACTTACCAAAAACCGTTATACGCTTCTAAAACACCTGACTCAATGGCGTGTATAGCAGTTTGTCAGTTTTGAGAGAAATCTTGGTTCTGACAGCGTGAAAGCACTTCATCTAGTCATTTCAACGTTCGCACATGTACAGACGTTTGACCGCTTTGTTTTATTTTTTCATGCATTACCACTACTTAACGATTTTTACATTCTCCCTTTTTGAAATATACGTCCGTTCTGCGAATGTTACCCGCAGAAGGACGCGCACCCTTTTCGTGTATTTTCACACTGATAACAATTTGACCCATTTACAAACGTTTCGCCTCTTCACCTTGCGATATATAGCTCTCAATACAATTGTTATGATTTGTTGCAGTCCCTAGTCAGCCTCGAGATGTCTCTGGGAAACTTGACAAAGGTGGAATTTCTATTACTGTTTCATGGAGGGATCCAAAAGACCACAATGGAATTATCATCATGTACAGGGTGAGTTACGCTGAAACAAACCCTTGATGAGCACGCTTTAAAGATTTTAGATGCGGTCATCAGCTGCTAGCTATGACTTGCGTTATATCTTTTTTCTGTAATGGCAGGTGTAAGATTTAAAATAAAAAAAATGACAATTAGAAAATTAAGGACTCGCGGCCTGCCTCTAGCCAATGGAACCCCGAGGTTTAAGTGTGTACATTTTCTTTGGATTCAGAACAACTTTTTATCCTATAAGCGCTTACGCCACACTCAATACTACTTGTTTGCTTTTGTTTGGTTTTTTTGTTTGTTTCTTTGTTTGTTTGTTTTTTCTGACTTGTTATATCTTCCTTGATTTTCAGGTATATTTCGAGGGTAAAAGAGGATATGACCCTTCCTTTACAGATAACCACGAAATTGTATCAGGAAACACTTCTCGGAGCACTGAGATTGGAATAGCTAGGTTGAAGCCTGGTACAAAATATAGTATTTATGTGAAAGCAAGAACAGTCAAAGGATATGGAGCCGAAAGTGTTCGTGCGGAGCTGAAAACACCATCAAAACGTATGCGAAAATTGTTTGTTCATTTGTGTGAACATGTTGGAAGTGAATTTCTGCTTGTACATCAGTGGCCTATTGCATCACGGCAATGGCGTCAGCAAGCAGCTCACTCAATCTTTGAGCAGTGGGTAAGGAATGAGTCAGGCAGGCGCAGGGACCGATGGGCAGGTAGACAGACGGAGGGACGTGGGACAGATATAGAGAGAGATAGATATACAAACAGATTCATGTAGATAAACAGGACCGACCGACAGATAAACGGAGGAATATACAAAATTAAGGATTTGTACGTTAAATCTAAGCGTTCTACTTTTGTTCTTTTGTTTACAGGTCCACCACCACCTAAACTTCCCCAACTTGTCGAAGCTGACGTCACCACAACAACAATTACGATTTCTTTGTCGCCATCTGATGACACTAACGGAGAGATCATGTGAGTGTTAGTGGCTTTTGCAATTTTTTTATTAGACCATTCTCATACTCGCTCCGGGAGGCGTGGGGGAGGTGGTGGTTTGGAAGGTTTGGGCCATCACAGGGTTTTCAGGGAGACTGGAGGGGGGTCAGTTGTCTGTAACAAAGTTTAAAGGGAGGAACTTATAAAATTTACTGCCAAATAACTGCCAATGAGGGAGGAAGTTAAGAATTTTGCAAAGCCTCATGGGGGAATCAGGTACATTTTTATGTTAGCACAACCAAATTCTCCGACCGTTAAATATGCAGATAGAGGGTTGAATATGTTAAATATTGGCCAAACTTCGCTTTAAAAAATTCATACTTCAGAATTCATTACCTCCACAGCCAAAGGCGCATTATTTATTGAACAAATGTTTTTCGTTTTTTACGCGGACATTTTATTTTCCAAAGGTATTTTTGGGTGCCACTACCAAGTTAACGGTTATATGATTTGTTTCTCCTTTTATTGAAACGCCAAGGTTGTTGGTTTAGTATTACTACTTTATATGAAAACTGACCTTTTTGAAACCTTCACCCCTTTAGTCGACATCAGATCATATTAGAAATGCTTGGAACAGCCAGAGCTCTTCGGGAAACAACCGCCCTCCCGGAGGATATACACGGCTATCAGAGAGCGCAAATAAATGGAGATCGTTTCTACATTACGGCTATGTTTGAAAGACGAAAACTCCCTGCTGAGTTCGTTCTTGGAAATGGAAAAACATACGGCGGCTATGAGAATGTCCCTCTTAAACCAGGGACGCGGTACAAGGTGTACGTAAGAGGAGTCACCGAACGTGACGGGGTAAGTATTCAAGCTTCCATTGTGGATTTCAGCACCTTATCTCAATTTTGTTTTGTTTCGTCTCAGTCAGCCCGCTGTATCTCACTGAGTGGTGGGATGTTTTTTCTACAGAAGTGGCTTTACGGAGAACCAGCTGCTATCATTCTGCCGAAAACTGGTTGGTGCCTTTCATATTTCAGTTTTGTTTTGGTTAGCTGGTCGCCAATATGCATCCCTTTCTTTACCAACTTCTCCGGGATTGTCTCCTTCACGGTCACTGTTTTGTATTTCGGTGCGTTTGAAGGCATTCTTTGTGACGATCATGATCACGCAAATTCTAGAGTCATTCCAATCCTAGCCCTCAGCTAAGTATAAAAAAATTCAGGTAATAATGCAGATTTGTTGCTACACATTTTGCAGATGAGTCGCCAGTCGTCAAGGAGGGTGACAACATGGTTGGTGTAATCGCTGGTCTTCTGGGAGCGCTGATACTTATCTTGATTGCCATCGTAGCATT